TGTATTCCAATATTTTGGATCTTTGGTAAGGGTTTTATTTTAAATGGAATATATTTGTTTCACTCATGCTAAATTTGGAAAACTTAGTTTCAAACATTCCGTCATAATAATCTCTTTTAGCTCAATACACTGTGTTGAGCTAATACCACTAGAATATTAACTTTTACAGTTCCTTTGAAAATATTTGGCGCCCAAATTTATGCACACAATGAGCTTCTGAACCAAATATACAAATTAGGTATAGATGACGCTGGTTAATAGACTCTGTTAGGAACTAAACAAAATAAATGAATATATATTTTTGTAGAAATTTTTCAACCTTGCAAAGCAAATTTCTACAAACATTGAAATGTTTTTACCCTTTATCTAACCATAATCACAAAATTGGTCACTAAAATATTGTTCCATTCATTTTTTAAGTCATTAATCAGGAAAATAAAATATAAATTATAGATGGCGCCCAATTGTACGAACACAGTAAAAATACTTTGTTGCGATAAATAATTTATGATTTTTTTTGCAATAAATGAGAAAATTTTTACAGCTGTATAGTCCCTCGGCCCTTTATGGTACCCATTCGAAAGAAGATTTTTCGAGGTCTATAAAATGTACACATGTTTTATATTTTAACCAACTATTCATCATTTAAGGTACCTAAAAGTATGCACTTTCAGTTCGTGTATATGAAAATAAAATACCAAATATAGATGGCGCCCAATTGCACGAACACAGTAAATTCACATTTTTTCGATGACAATTGATGAGTCTTTTTGCAACAAAGTAGAGAATGTCCTCATATTTTTTAAATACATTTATATTTCAATATTTACACATGTTTGTTTGTCGGTTTTTTGCAAATTGTCACCTCTTTTTTATTATGAATAGCAATAGAAAAATCAAAACAGAAACATGCACGTCACTCAAAACGTGCCTCTTTTTCCAGCAATGACATTCTATAGTGTACAATGAACTCAAATAACCTTTGTAATCATAGCTCGGTTTCCCATTAACTCTTCTTTCTACCCTTTCTGTGGTCACCCATACATCTACTGGCGGGTATCATCAACCTGTCCGACTGGTGTTATTGTTATTATTGATTACATTCAAATCGAATGCGATGTAATACGATTTCACATGATTTGATTTCAATTTCATCTTTCCAAGGGTGTTGGAGAGGTGAAAATATACAACAATGTTTCAAATCGCCTGCAAAACTTATCAACAATTAGGTGTGTGATTTTTTTTAATTTGTTTATAAATTGTTTGTTAAATTGTAATGCGGATGGGAATATTGTGATAAGGCAAAGCTATTACCCTATAGCTGGTTCCTTATGCATTTTGTTCAATCGAAGAGAGGTATGAGCTGAAGAAGTCACCAGGATATAAAGGAGGAAATACATACGAGGACTTCAAGCATGTTAAGTTGGCTTCCTTTATTGTAAAAGAATAAAGGAGAACGGCTTCCAAAATCAAGTATGACTCTGATACTCCTTTATAAAATGAAAATTCATACAAAGCCAACATAACATGCCAGGTCTGTAACCTTGTATGTGTTCCCCCTTAAGTAATATGCATATTAGTCAGTAGGGGAACTGTTAAAAATGGGAACTCCTAATAAATAAAATTGGATTAAAACCTTAAACTCCAAAAATTTCCTTTTCAATAAAATAACCAATAAAACTGACATAATATCAGTTGAGGAACTATATCTGGAGGAAATTTTCTCGTGAGATCATATAAGAGCTTATGTCCCCTAGCCCTTATGTATTGTAAAATTCATTTTCGCAGGTCCATTTTTCCATCTGAGTTAGCTGGTTCATATATTTTCATATAAATTTTCCACTGGCATCGAATTTTTTCTTGGTTAAGATACGGAATTGTTTTTTTTTTTTGTTTCAAGTTCCACTTGCGAAAGAGGTAAGCGTAATTGGGTCAATGATATATTGAGGTTGGAAGAAGAATAAAACAAAAAACCGAAACTAGTTGAAAAGAAGTCACCAACATGAAATTTAGATCAAGGTAAGAGACAAAGAATATTTCCGCAAACAAAGAAGTGAAAAATTAAAATAAATAAAAAATGGAGAAAGAAGAAACTAGAATACAACAGTGAGACCTCAATCAAAATTTCCGATGTCAAAAGATATTAAAGAAATTAGGAGTATTTCGCGGACCTATATTGAAGTTTGAGCCATACATTTGTGGGCTCAATTTTCAATCACATTTGCGCTGTACCCTTTATACTCTCCAATACCATCGAAAATTGAAATCCAATTGCTAGCCGAAGATCGATTAATTTTCGGAGGAATCATCAAACTAAATATCTTAAATGTACAATATTGAGAAACCAGGCAGAAATAAATTACGAATCATGGTGTTTGCAAAGGTCATCTTCGAGGACGAGACTGCAGATAAAAATTTTGTGTGGAAAATACATGATAAAATTGCAATGGCAACGATTCCGGAACAGTTTTCATTCATTAGTATGTCGGCTAAAGAAGCATGGAACAGTTTGATTAAAGTATATCGGCCCAAAAGGCCCAGGGAGGAAGGTGTAACTGCGATTGAATAAAGTAGATTTGGGTTATCTCATTCCTGGAGCAGTTCAAACATTTTTCAGTTAACTCCGCAAGAGGATCTAGGTAATTCGTAGTCCTAACTTAATTTGGCCAATGAACGGAACGATTTAGATAAACAGTATTGAGAAACTTAAATTTCAAGTGATGGTAGATGAAGACAGAACTTGTTCACCGAAATCTGTGGGAAGTATTTTTTGATGACGAAAATTATGAGTTAGTTTTAAAAAAGAGATATGAGTTGGCAAAAGTGGCATGGAACAGTTTGAATAAATTAAATCGATTCAAAGATCGAGTAATGAAGTAGCGTTGGACAATGTTGTTCCTGAAACGGTTCGACCTTCTTCGTCTCTCTCCGAAAACGAAATTAGGCCATTCATTTAAAAAGAACGATTGTTGCAAAAGGTAGAAGATGAAACGAAAGAACCAGATCTAGTACCGATCGTCCCTTTTTCGGAATATTTAGTTTGAACTAGGCTCTAATAAGTATGCAATGGTAATGATTTTATTGAGCAGCACTCGAGTTTAGCTTTCATACATAAAGAGCTGTAAGTCGTAAATAGAAGCATGGAACAGTTTAAATGATGGACCAAAAATTGGAGCCGGACCAAAAGACCCAGAGAAAAAGGTGTCATTGTTTAATGCAGGTGAATAAAGCCGATGGGATACAAGAATACCTGTGGGAGTCATAGTCAAGCTGGCTAATGCAGGTATTAAGCTATGTGAAGTCTTATTTGTCAGAATAATTCTCGCGGAACCGTTCCATTGTTTCGGAGCTACCAATCTCTTGAATGAAGGTAATTGAAACCTCACTCCGGTTCAGCTTTAAAGGGGAACACACATACGAGGATTTAAGAATGAAATAAATCCAACTTAACAAGCCATGACTGAAGTTCTTTTATGTGTTTCTCCCTTAAGAGCTGTAAATCGGCAAAAGATGCATGGAACAGTTTGATTAAAGTACATGGACCAAAAGAACAAGTGAAAAAGGAGTCACTGTTAAAACAGTTGTGAATGAATGAAACCGATGGGGTACGAGAATACCTGTGTGAGTTTATATACGTCGCAGACAAGCTGGCTAATGCTAGCTTTCAGAGCTGTAAGTCGGCAAAAGAAGCATGGAACAGTTTGATTGAAGTACATGGACCCAAAGGCCCAGTTAGAAAAGTGTCACTTTAAAACAGCGATGGAATACAAGAATATCTGTGTGAGTATAAATTCGAAGATAAAATAGCTGAAGTCGATATTATGCTTTGTGAAAACATTTTTGTCAGAAAAATATTCCTCTAGAATTATGGCAATTGAAGCGACCCTATTGAGCGTAACTTCGGTTCAGTTTTCAAAAGAAGCGTGGAACAGTTTGATTGAAGTACATGGACCCAAAGGCCCAGTGAGAAAAGTGTCACTTTTAAAACAGCTGCTCAAAGTTACGAATGAATGAATCCGATGGGATACAAGAATACCTGGGTGATTCTAAATCTGTCCTAGAAATGGTGGCTGAAACAGTTGTTGACCTGACATATTAGCCCGAATATTCGTCGTCAGTTTGCTAAAAGGTTTTGAAAACATGGTACATCCATCGTAGACAATTTGGCTGAAGCAGGTAATAATATGGCAGCAGAATAATAATATAGATTTGCTGGATTATTTACCTATGCTTGAATATACGTCATAAAGAATACGTATGTGAGGTTATATCCGTTGTGTACAAGCTGGTAAACAAGTAGATTTTAAGCCCTTTGAAGACATATTAATCCGAATAATTCTCCCCAGTTCACCAAGGGGTTTTGAGAACTTGGTTGTTGTGTTAGAGTCGCGAGATTTATCAAGAATACCTATGTGAGTTTAAATCTGTCGTAGACATGATATCTGAACCAGGTATTGAGCTATGTGAAAACATTTTTGTCATAATAATCCTCACCAGGTCACATATGAATAAATTGAGCTATTTTGTTAAAAGCCTAGGTATCCTTTGCAGCCGTGGCCTTTGTTGGATCATGTTTTGAAAAGACTCAAAATAGAAGTTAATATTTTTCGATATAGTCATATCGAGCTTCACCGAGGTTAGCTGCCCAGGACGAGTTAAAAACCAAAGACCCTAAAATTTGAATTTCATATTTAGAACCTCCTCTTAACCTTTGGCCATTTTTTCATAGCTACTTATTTTGAAATCAATAAAAATCCTGAAAATCCTGTTCTATAAAACTCTCTTTCACTTCTTCCGACCTTTGCCATTTTTATGGAAAACTTATATTTTTGGAATTAACAAAAAAAATGTCATTTAGATTAAATCAAATCGATTCGCGATAAAAGGGAGCGGAAATCACTTCATACCCTCTAGCTTACCTCAGAACGTATACTTTATGTTTCTTGGAGCAAATTTTGCAGTTGATGCTGATGCCGATGAACAGCCTTCCAGGTGATAATTTAATTTACAACGGCTGTTGCAGGTTGGGGTTGCAGAATGGCCTGTTGAGGCTGTTGATGGGGACCATGAAGAGCGGCGGCGGCGGTGGAACCAGCAACGGAATTCGCTTGTTGCTGCATCATATGCTGCTGTTGATATCTGGCCGATGAGGTCCATTGATGGGCCTGATGACCTGAACCATGATGATGATCACGAGCTGCAACAGCTGCTGCTGCAGCAGCGGCCGCCACAACATTATGATGATGATGCTGAGAATGATGATGGGGATGAGGATGTGCATGATGACCATTGGCAGCTGCTGCTAATTGACGTCAGAGATAGAATTCGGGTGAGCTCTGATTTTCGCTGGTCAACTGTTGTTGGGAACTTGGACCACCACTTGAGGGATTCAAGGCAATGACGGCACTACCCGTCGCCCCCGCCCCTCCTGCTGCTGCTGATGCCGTCGTTGGTGAGGAACTCGAACCATTCCTCGATTGCAAACGCTGTTTCAGCTGATCCCGCTCTTGGCAAACCCGTGTGTATTCCAATTTCAAACGATGCAGATCCTGATTTAACTGCCTATTGGTCTTTTCCAATTCGTGACGCTGCATTAGACGTTTTGAGCGACAATTTTGTGCATAGCCGCGATTTTTAAGGGTTCGCCTTTTTTGCTTTAGCCGCACAACTTCTTCGCGCGGACAACCATGAAGACGTTTGTTTAGCTCCCGCACTGAGAGGGTGGTTAGGAGGTCGTCATCGATACAATCGTCTATACCCAATTGGCTCGATGTGGAATAGTGTCCGGAAACGGTACGCGGGGAATTTGTTGAGGATCGCGTTGAACATACCGAGGTGGGCCGATTCGTGGAATGTTGATGACCGCCATTTGAGGGCGCATTGTGTAGCAGGGATCCCGAGGAGCTGGTGGGTGGACAATTGGCGATATTGTGATAGGGCGAGGGATGCATATTGATCGGAGCCAGGTGTTCCAGGTGCTGGAAATGATGATGATGATGGTGGGGATGTTGATTTTGCTGCAAATGCAAATGATGGCTGTGGTGGTGATTGGCGGCGGCCACAGATTGCATGTACTCGCGATGCCTTTCCCATTCCTCCTCCTGGCTGGGACCGGCCAGTGGCCTTAAGTCGAGCGGTTGAGGATCGGTACGCATAGAGTTGGGTAGCCACATCATTTCCTGTGTCAGCCCAGCACTGCTGGGTGGGGGTCTGTGGTGGGTGGCATAGTGTGAAGCTGGGACCCCAGCATAAGCCTGAGCACAGGTACTACCCGTTGGAGAGCCAATAACAGGTGGTGTTTCGGGGGGTGTTGATGGTACCCCACCCGGTACTGAGGTATTCACGAGTATAGCCTGACCCGTCATCGGTCCATGGGTATAGATCTCCGGTGGTGGTGACAATGGCTGCAGACGCCTCTCATCCATGTGCGACCAATTTGTGGAAAATGATCTCATTTTGATCAGCGGCTCAACGGCGGTTTCTTCATCCTCCGGCGCCATGGCAGCCGGTTCTGCGGTCCAGGTAATCTTGGCCACCGCTGTCGGGCTGTGATCTTCACGTTTGACACCAACCGGTGCCGAGGTACCATCCTCCAGATGCTCGAGCACAAACTCTTGTACATACTGGTCAGCGAGGTTTGGATCCTCCATTTTCATTGAAGAGAATTTTTTTGGTGGGTAATTCGATATCACAAAGAACTAAACTAAGCAAAGGCAGGCCCGCAACTTTGATTTTCAAAACAATTTCGAAATCATGCAAAATGGATTTTGGTTTTTTTTGTTTCGTTTGGAAATCTTTTGCCTTTAAATTTCACTTTGTTACACACATTCGATATCGTTCCGAGAGGGGTTTCAATTTTCACTTGATTTTTTTGTTTTCAAATTTATTGCTTAATTTTCAAAAAATTATTTTTTTAACGGAAATTCAATATCGTTTAGGTTTCCAAAATTATATTTTCCTTTTTTTTATTTTTTTCAAAACTCAGCAGTTTTTTTTCAAATTTTTATTTTCCAAAAGAACCCGATGCCGCTACTTCTGTTGTTTTTCAGACTATTGGCATTTTAGCAACCGTTGTTAAAGAGTTGGCGATAACGACTAACGGGATATGGACTCTTGTTTTTTGCGTTTTTTTGCCTATTTGCAACAGTGGGGTGTCCGTCTGTCTGTCTGCCCCAAGAATGGCCGAGTCAAGCACTTTTTCCAGGTATATATTGGTCAAATAGCTGAGCTTCGCGATTTGTCGTTTCGTTTCGCCGTCTTCTTCTTGTTTTGGTTTTTCTGTTAGGTGTTGTTTTTGTTTTTGTTACTCGTCTCGTCTTCGTTTCGTCGTGGTCGTCGTTACGCGTTGCGGTATCAATTCTTACTGGAATTCTTATTTTGGCAGCAAATCTCTCGTTCCGATGCCGGGCAGTCAGCACTCCATTCCTTACTTTGTTGGCATTGGTTCCACAACCGAATACCACCACCACCTCGACGACCACCACACCAATACAAATGACAATTGGATGACATTTGAGCATGCCCAAGAATATTTGTTGCTTTGCCAAAATGTTTGGAGCTACAAAGTAACACCCCATACCGATGGATGGATGGCTGGATGGGTGAACGGATTATTGCTCTCTGTAAATGCCAGCTTTGTGCTAAGGGGTGAAAGCTTTGCTCTCACAGCAATGAGTGGCTGGGAGACAGAGAGAGAAAATCCAAACTCAAGATAGTAGGCATTTTAGTACAGCGGATTTTGAAAAAAAAAATATTTTAGGGTTTGAATTTTTTTAAGATATTTTTTCATGGTCTATCGATCTATCTATCACTGTGCTACAGGGTATAATGTCTTTGTGCATATGTTTGTAACAGGCAAACGGAAACGAGATAGACACATAGTTTCTTTTGAGAATATGCATAGAATCACTTTCAGAGTCGATTTATGCATGTCCGTCCGTCTGTCCATCTGCAGATGTTAAATTGTAAACAAAGTACAGGTCGCATTTATGATTCGATTTGGATGAAATTTGGCACAGCTCACTTAGGGTTCAATAGGGGTCGTCCTCAGGCCAAATGCCTAAGGACGAATCCTATTGAAATTGGGAAAAATCGTTTCAGATTTAGATATAGCTCCCATACATATTTTCGTCCGATTAAGGTAAATGGTGTACCGAAGTCCCTATATATCCTTCGATTTGGACGAAATTTGGCATAGCGTACTGAATTAAGTCTGGCATGATATATGCTGAGTTTTGTAAAAATCGGCTCAGATATAGCTCCCGTATATAGTTTCGTCCGATTTTATGAAAATGTGCACCAAAAACCCTATATATCTTTCGAATTGCACGAAATTTGGTTTAGGGTATTGAACTGGGTCCAGAATGACGTGTGCTAAGTTTCATGAAAATCGGTCCAGATTTAGATATAGCTCCCTTATATAGTTTCGTCCGATTTTATGTAAATGGTGCACCAAAGTCTCTATATATCTTTCGATTTGCACGAAATTTGGCATGGGGTACTAAATTAGGTCCAGAATTATTTGTGCTAAGTTTCGTGAAAATCGCTTCAGATTTAGACATAGCTCCCATATATATTTTCGTCGGATTATATGTAAATGGTGCACCAAAGTCCCTATATATCTATCTATCTATCTATCGATTTCCACGAAATTTGGCATAGGGTACTGAATTGAGTCTGGAATGATGTGTGCTAAGTTTCGTGAAAATCGGTTCAGATTTAGATATAGCTCCCGTATACAGTTTCGTCCGATTTAAGGTAAATGGTGCACCGAAGTCCCTATATATCTTTCGATTTGCACGATATTTTGCATAGGGCACTGAATTGGGTCCAGAATGATGTGTGTAAAGTTTCCTCAAAATCGGTTCAGATTTAGATATAGCTCCCGTATATATTTTCGTCCGATTTAAGGTAAAAGGGGCATCAAAGTCTCTATATATCTTTCGATTTGCACGAAATTTTGCATAGTTTCAAGAAAATCGTTTCATATTTAGATATAGCTCCCGTATATAGTTTCGTCCGATTTAAGGTAAAAGGGGCATCAAAGTCTCTATATATCTTTAGATTTGTACGAAATTCGGCATAGGGTACTGAATTATGTCTAGAATGATGTGTTTCGAAAAAATCGGGTCAGATTTAGATATAGCTCCCATATATATTTTCGTCCGATTAAAGGTAAATGGGACACCAAAGTCCCTATATACCTATCGATTTGTACGAAATTTGGCGTAGGTTATTGAATTAGGTTCAGAATGATGTGTGCCAAGTTCAGATTTAGATATAGCTCCCATATATAGTTTCGCCCGATTTTATGAAAATGGTGCACCAAAGTCCCAATATATCTTTCGATTTGCACGAAATTCGGCATAGGGTACTGAATTGGGCCCAGAATGTAGTGTGCTAAGTTTCGTGAAAATCGGTTCAGATTTAGATATAGCTCCCGTATATAGTTTCGTGCGATTAAAGGTAAAAGGGCACCAAAGTCCCTATATATTTCTTTCGATTTGCACGAAATTTGGTATATTGTACTGAACTAGGTCCAAAATTATGTGTGCTAAGTTTAGTAAAAATCGGTTCAGATTTAGATATAGACTTTACTACTTTCCCTACTGGTTTAAAAATATTTTTTAGGGTTTGAAAAAAAAAACTTTGCGAAAAATGTTTAATTAATTTGCCCACTGTACTTCCCATAAGATGCTCCATATGCAAAAGGGCTTTTCATCTTCCGAGATTGCAAACTGAGAAACTCTACAAAATCCAAGAGAGAATTTCAAATGTCCCATACAATTTCTCTACACAACAAACCTTCCTTATCTACGACGATGATGATGGTGGTTGATAGGTGGCTGGCTGGCTTACTCTCTACTGAGTTCTGGTGCTCATAATACATCTATCGTTGCTTGTTGTTGTTGTAATTATTGTCGAGCCGCTGGCATTCGAATCCAGTAAAGACGAAAAAAGGGGCGTCATTTATTTTGAATTACAGGCCATAAAGCGATGAAAGCAACGGCCTTAACTCGGTCGTTTCGGTTAGGTGGTGGGGGGTTTTATAATTTGTAATAGCTCCGCCCATTTGTTGTTTGTTGTAGTTGTTGTGATATATTTGAATGTGTGTAGTCGGATTGTGGTGGCATTTTTACCCAAAATCTAAAAAAAACAAGAAGTCGGAACTTCAATATTCTTCATGAATGAGTGATGGGCACTGGAAATGAACCAGCCAGCCATCAACAACCCCTGTTTCGCACACAGTTTTTTCCCCGTCAAAAGGCTTTAAATATTTATTTTGACGATAATAACGGAATGTTTGTTCTCTTTTCTCGGAGTTTTATTGTGTTTAAACCCAAATAGAAATATTCCCCTTTTCAGTGTGCGATTTTTAAAAATTGTTTGTTGTGATCTATTTTTGATTGGTTGGGTCAAAATTTATGCGCAAAATCCGCTGGAAAGGTGTTGTGTTCGTGTGTGTGTTTCGCTTTACATTGTTTGCGGATCTGGAGGATATGTAATGGCGAAGGTGCCTAGGTTTATAGTTGTTGTTGTAATTTATGTAAGGCTTTTTATAGCATGCAACTACACATGCAATCATTTACAATGATTCGGAAAATATGAATTGTTGTGTGGAAGTAGGAAGGAGTTTTTTGCGAACTACCATCCAGGTAATGTATGTATTTGAATTTTCGGGTCACAATAAATGTTTCATCAATCAGAGTATTGATGTAAAAATAAATTATGGACCATCTATAAAAAAAATAAAAATTGATTTTTAAATAGTAACTTAATAATATTTTTTTTACCAGGGACCATAGGCCTTAATATATTTAATTTTTTCACATGAAAATAAAATATATTATTTTGGACTATAAGGGTGACTTTTTAATTTTGTTGTTCTGAAGGAATTTAACACTTATTTTTTAATTTTTTTCTCAATGGCTATAAATCTGATTTGCTTTCAAATATATTTTCTAAAGATCCACATATCTTACATTGTAAAAATTATTTTATCTGAAGGACTACATGGCGGATTTTTTCTAAATAATATTTTTCTCAAGAATTACAAGCCTAGAATATTTATAAAAATATAATAATATATAAGTCAAAATATCGGCTTCTATTGAGCATTATCTTCCAAGAGGTATTTTATCTCCTGAAATGCACTATCAAAATATCTTATTTTCTATTATTATGTATTTTATATCGGAAATTCAAAATTGCAGTCATTTTGTTTAACAAAAATTGCTCAAATCAATTGGAAACCTGTTATGGAGGCTAGGCGCGAGGAACAGATAACAGAATGACAAAGTACAGCCATTTCGAAGGAAACCTTGACAATACCGAAAACGAGTATGGGGACTATACCAAGACCAAATATTCTGGGTGCGGTAGCTATTTACCTGATTGGTCACCGATTAATATTTTGAGGTGACTGAGCTGAGTAGAATAGACGGGTGTGGCCATCTATATGATACCAAACTCAACGAACACTGAACTGGAATTTTCTGCGGATCTATATTCTGGGCCATAGCAATATTATTTCGCGATATTTTAATTTTTAGTAGAATTATTGTAATACTAAACAACACTAAAATATGTAGACTTTAGTGTACAATAGAATTTGTATTATATTAGAGGTCAAAAGTTCCTCTTTTTTACGCTGTCAACTTTTCCGAAGTGAA